CATCGACTGCAATGTACTCACCTTTCCTCACCTTTCTATTCTCCTCTCCCACCATGACCTGACAGCAAATGCTGTGGAATTAACTGAATTACAGCAGACTGAGTTAACCAGGAATAGGGTAAGATAAACTAAATTCTAGGATTGTAGGTAAGAGTTCCAAAGAACTCTATTTCTTCATTTTTAAAGAAATTATGAAGTATAAAATGAGTCCCTTACAATAATAGCTTTGGGGGAAGAGAAGAAATTCTACAACATTAAATATACACAGCTCTGCCAATTGAAACGACTTCAGAAATGTTAAAATGTGAAATAATGTGCACAGAAGAATCAGGGACACAATATCTACCTGCATCTTGCCTGGGCAAAATCACCCTCCTACTTCTGGACCTGCCTGCCCTTCTCCCCGACAAGCCGATGCACTCAGGCTGCTTCCCCTACATCTGCTGTTATTGCAATACAGCTTTACTCTCACTTCTTTCTGTCAGAGATCTGTCTCACTCTTCAATCTGCATTCTCCACTCTATGGCTGTCCTCTTTGTAGTCCAAGTCCAGAAGTGTAGTACTAGCCTTAACCTACTTGTAGTGTGGTTAGAAACTATTTCCTGTTGGTCTCTCTAGACACAGAGGACACAAAATGACCACCATCAATCAGTATGTCATCTTCCAAACTGTGTAACTGCTACAGGAAATTTTCAATGGAAAGCGAATGACTGAGATAATTTCCCAACTAGTTTAGTCTCACTAATATAAACCTAAATAACAGCTCTGCACAATAAGAAAGCAACCTAGTTCTGGTTAAACACAATGAAACACATTAGATGATAGAAAAATAAAAGGAAGAAGAGTAAGTGACTGAGCAGAGAAAGCTGAAACCTAAAGCCTGAAGAGAGCACACAGTGAAGACCTGCGGTGAATCCTCTGAGAACCCTGGTGAGACCAGGTGATCCTGGCCGCCAGGTGCCATTTAGTGTTTCTGGTCTCAGGTTAGAAGCAGCTGTGGTTTCTGTGGTCTGTTAGTCTCAGGGACTAGTTTCTTCTTTGAGCCTTTGATTTCCTTCATCCTCTTTTCCTCCATTCAAATGGAGACTAATATTTGTATCTTAGATGGCTGCTCACAATCTTTTAAGACCCCACTCGCTACTCACCAAACTAGAACATAGAATGATGTTATGCCAATCGACTAAGTT